TTTAGTGGTGTTCCAGATGTTGACAGTCTCCCCCTCTCTATTCAGTGCAGTTTTGCTTTATTACTCACAGTGAACAGGGAGCAGAAGTTTCCTCCAATGCATAGTGCTAGGGTTAAGTTTACATCTTCTCCAATTATAAGAGGGCCATTAAGTTCAGATAATGTGAGATATAAATTTAAGAGGAATTCTAGGGAAATCATAATTAGGTGCAGAGACATTACATGAGTTTAATGACTGAGATTTAATTTCAGTTTTCAGGATTATAAATTGAGAATCCTTATCTGGCTCATCTTCTTTTTTTTTCTTAATTAATTGGAAATTTATTTCCAAGCAATTAAGGCAGAGATTCTTTTCAGTCCCTAAGTGTTTGTGAGCTATATACTAATGTTCTCTACCTTGCTTTCAAAACTTCGTCCTGTTAATTTCTTTGAGCTCTTTCTGATAACATGATAATGCCCGTGTGTGGTTTTATGTACAAAGAGCAATCCTCATTTCAGTTTAGATATCCTGTAGGAAATTAAGTTGCTCAGGATTTAGAACTGTGGCATTTTGTAAATGTTGGTAGATTAGAAAGATAGTCCCCCACAAAACCATACAGAAGGAACAGAATTAAGAAGCAAAATCATTCTGCAAGTGTCTGAAGAAATGGCTTGCTGAGATGCTCTGTTTTGCTGTTTATGGATTCTTAGTTACATGATCTCATCAAGTAAAACTGTCCCAGTCCTAAGAACTTGGGCTGTGACTCTAGTCATGTACACACTATAAATCAATCCTCTGCTCTCTCAGGTGAAGAGGGGCATCTCCAAGGGAAGCTGATCGCTTTTGATGCAGTTGGATCTTTGCAATTCATCTCTTGATGGCAGAGAAATCAAACCTGCATGTTACGTGGGCACCGAGGTGTGATATCCAGTGGGTGCGTACACGCACACGGGAACTCAGCAGTTGGTTTTCCCATTTTGCACCATGTGAGGGAATCTCAACTTCTCCTTCCTGAAGCTCTGCATCTGGGCGCATTTGAAAAGCAAGAGCTTGTACATTAATTTGTTTTTTTTTTTAATATTCTCTTGAAGTGCTGCTCTAATCAAACATGAATGCTGCACCATCCTGAGCAGCAACCAGGCATACAAGTGTAGAAGACAGTCCCTATGCCTCAAGACTTAAACCTCACAAGAAACAATTCTAGGAAGCAGATGTTGCTTTTACCTTTATTTTTCACAGTGCTGAAGTGCCTACTGTTCCATTCCCTCTTACTTTCCAAGAAACGCTATCAAATATGCCCTGGGAGCCCAAGTCAGAAGCAACCCATTGGCCAAAAAATCCAGCCACAATGCAGAGCCTCCTGGTTCTAAGGCAGAGAGGCTGTGAGTGAGTGAAGAAAAGCATAGGGTGGCAGCTTGGTTCTCTTTCTCCTGTCACTGTCACTCTGCTATCGTTCAGGGCAAGTCTTGCACTTTCTCAGCTTCAAGGTGCTAAAGTTTAAGAAGTTTCTGCCACCTTCATCCTCCTTTGCCTGTTCGCAGCCCTACACTGCAGTTCTATACGGTCTCTGTCTCATTTGTGCTGACAAACACTGAACTCATCTTAAACTAGAGTGCTGGCAGAGGCTGGCTGGCACAGCTTAATAACAAAACCACTCCAGAAGTTCATGGACTTTTTTAGGTTGCTTTTAAAAACAATTTAATGTTCTGCTTTACAGCGTAGCAACACAGGCACTTTTTTTTCTCGGTACAGGTGAAGAGGCAGCGTTGCTTCTCGGCAGAGACAAGCATTGGGGAATAAAAAAGTTCTTAAGGTTATTTACAGCCAAATAAATGTCAGTGGAACTATACCCTAATAAATAGTATTTTCAGAACTGTGCTGGTATCCCCTTGTTATTTGGGATCTATCAAAACTAGAAAAAAGGAAGGTAAGAAAAATACAGAGGTTTTAGATCAATAGCTTCAAATACGGTGCAGCAGAAGAAGGTGAAAATTAACTTCACTTTTAAAGTAATGAATAGAACAATTTAGAAGGTTAGTGGCAAAAAAATACACTTCACATTTAAATGACCAGTTCCACAGTGAAAAGACAAGCTGATCTGCAGAGAATGTGTGTTTACATCTACAACCTTTCTGGCCAAAAATCCAGCTCTCCAGAGACAGTTTCAAAAGCAAAAATGAACATTCAATGAAAAGTTCATGGAAGTGTCTCCTGTGGAAGCTTGGACTCAAACTGTTTTGCGTTTCCACCTTCAGATGACACATAGCTGCTTGGCTATGACATTGACTCATGCTTTCTGTGTCTCAGGTCCCCTTTCTTCTTTACAAGCTGTGATTCCTGGGTGAACCAGGAGTGCACCAAAGTGACATTTCAGAGTCAAAATATTTTCGAGTTTTCATCAAAAGCTCAAAATCAGCCATGAGAAAATATGATTTCTTAAAAAAAAATATATTGATTACTTTTTCTTGAGTGAAAACATTGACAGCTGAAGGGTGTCAATTGAGAAGTCAGCCATAGAGCAGGTTATGGGACCTGGATCTCCTTGTAGAGGTGGCTGTTTCAGTGTTCACATGGTCACGAGGTGAGGAAGCTAACCTTGACTGCATTGTAAGAGGTATTTGAATGAATAAAGGGATTCAGTGTCACGGTAAAGAACTTTCTGCTGGAAAGCAACACAGGAAAAATTTGAAATATATAGCTATTTGCTGCTGTCTTTTCAAGCAAGATAGTGGCAAGCTGTGGGTTTAATGTGTCATGCCTTCCATTCGTTACTGAATTTCCAAGGTTAAGAGAACAAATGATAAACAAACATGATCGTCGTGTGCTATCAGCCTCTGTTTCAGCGTGCTCCTATGAGGAACACCTTGCGTCTCATGCTGTATTCCTGCTTTCAGCTCAATCTGATGAATCTTTATGAGTCCAAGATCCTTTATACAAACGTGCATTCTTCCAATAACTGCCTTTTAAACAGGGAACCGTCTCAGTATTTGCTAAAGAATCCGTTTTCTGAGGGTCTGCTGTGTATTGAAACCAGCTTCTTAGTCTTCGGTGAGGTTTTCTTTTACAGACACAAGCTTTAGTTGTTTATCATCACAGCTATTTTTAAAGCACCTTGGACTGAGACCTGACATCTCAGTTGCAAGGTAAAAATGAGACTTCTCACTTTCAGTCACTGCAGGCCTCATTTTTCTTTTCTGGCTGTTTTCTTGTTTTGTTTGAAAAGTACAAGTACATTCCAAGTTTAACTAGATTTTTCTCTTTATGAGCTTCTTTTTTTGGTTTCTGTGGCTTATTCGAATGATTAGTCTTCCCTCTTAATTAGAAACAATCTATAATAGTGGTATTAACACTAACTAGGAGTTGCAATGAGGGACCACTACATCATTTTACTTTGTCTTGAAATATGGCCAGAAATATGAGCCCTGCCCAGCAAGATTTCCAGTCGGGTTACAAGGCAAGAAACAGCAGATGGATTTGCAAAGGAGAGAACAGTTAAAATTGCAACAGCCTTTCTGAATTGTCTTTAAATATATGGTAACTGATCTGTATTTTTTGTTATATTTAACACTATTTTCATCTGCCGTTGGTGAAAGATTGTAGACTCCATCAGGCAGATCATCAACTGCTGTAAATTAGTGTAACTCCATGGATATTGATGAAATGTACCAGCTTACCCTGCACCTTCACTTTTTATTAAGATTTTGTGATACTATACATTGCCAGAGTCTGTGATTTTTATCTTTTCCAGTTACCAGGTACAATCGATAAAAAAAACAACAACAACAAGTTATTTCAGGAAATATATGAATTGTTAACAGAGAGTCTAAGATGTAGTCACACTCCTACAACAGCTACAACAGTTTGCTATCAGTCTTTACCTCTTCATCACTGTGCCCTCCAAGAGATAGCAATATGTGTGGTTTCTGTTCTTTTTTACAGCAAAACAAAATAGATCCATTTTCCCCTTTGCAGAGGTGGCTTAAACTAGAACACCTGAAGTTGATTTCCATAAGTCTGTTTCAGTCTGCGCTTAAAGGAATTTGGAGAGTTCATCTGACTATTTCCATTCTGCTGAGAGGGTGCCACAAACATCTGAGGGTCATCAATTCCAGACTCCATTACGGATGTTCCAGACTCCATTACGGATGTTCCAGTGGGAAAAAAATGCATTTGGGATAGGCATAATGGTTATGTTTACACTGTGAACAAAGCACATAAAAAAGGACAACCCCTATGTGTCTTGTAAATGCCAATGTGAAGATGTAACCAAATTTTCAATAGGGCAAGGAGGAGATGCACCTGGGCTGGTGCAGCTGATCAGTGTGACCTGTTCTGAAAAAAGAACTTAATATCCATTTGCACTGAATAAAGCCCTGGTGGTCATACCAAAAAATTCCATGGAGAAAGCTTTGCTGAAAAAAGAGTTTCAGTGGAATTCAGCTAATACGGCCAACATTACATGTTCTAATGAAAGTTAGGCAAGAGAAACATCAACTCTGAAGTCTTCTCAGTTGAAGAGTCAGAGATTCAGCCAGAGAGTGCCAATCTGTTTTCTCATATCATCAAACTGACATCTCTTCATCACACATACAGTTTAGCCCCTTCACGGTATCTGTTTGATTGTTTCTTGTTTTGTTTATGAAGTTCACAATAGGTCTGGGGTTTTTTTTGGTGGAGTTTCTGGGTTTGCTTTTTTTTTAAATAAAGGCAATCTTTGTTCTCATTAAATTATATCAAGGCTCTTTTAGCATTACTTATAGCTCTCAGGTTTTGGACAACAGGAATTTTCCTCCAGTTATTGATGATTATATGATGACTTCCTTTTAGGTAACCACAGCAAGTATAAGCAAATGACATTCTAGGTCTATTATTCGCAGTTATGCGGATTCTAAGCACAGCATTTTATAACACACCAGAGTGTTGGAATTTCCTTTTCTGTTTGGTAGACTGTTTGAATGAATCTTGAGGCTTGAGTCAGTTGCCTATTCAGAGGTGTCAAGTGTTATTTGCAACGCCCACAGGTAGCTGAGACATCTTCATGGGGCTGGCAGCTATTACACAGCGCCTGTGGGATGGCAGCGCTCGCCTGGAGCAGCAGCTGGAAATGGAGCAGAATTGCATATGCAATGGCACTGGCCACCTATTCGTTCTGAGCACCTTTTTCCTGTCCTTACCAGGTGAGATTCAGTTTAAGTTTAAGACTCCTAGTTATAAGTGTCTACAAATACATGTTTACCTCTGCTTTTGGAGTCTAAGATTCCATTGCAATCAGTTGCTTGAATGTTATCTCCAATGGCACAAGACACCTAGCACACCCTGCTCTTCCTCTGATTGCCACTCCAAAAGGTCATGGAGCTCCTAGAAATTCCATGTCATAGGTTCTTCAATACCTTTGAGTGTCTCAGGTGCGATCAGATATCTGTCTAGAGGTATCCACTTGCATGACCCAGTTTGGGTCAGCTCTCCTGGATGCGTTCCTTCCCAACTTTTTGTTCACCCCCAACCTGCTTGCTTGGGAGGGTGGGGGGAGAGAGAGAGAAAACCTCGACACCATGCAGGAATGGTTCAGCAGTAACCAGAACACCGCACCATGTGGGCTGCTATGAAGAAAATTAACTCCTTGACTTCATCCCAGCCAAACCCAGGACATCGTTCTTCCAAGTCAGTCACAAAAGGATATACATTGTCTTCTGGGAGACATCTGTACAGCAGTACAGAAAGTGCAATATTCCACTGCCATTCTTTGCTATATCTTTTTTTTTCCTGATTATTCCTGAAGGCCCCTGTCACTTCTAGGACACATTATAAGAGCCCACTCTGTTTTGTAGAACAGAGCTGGCCTACGGCCAAACGGAAGAAAAGATGCAAGTGCTTCAGTTAGGAAGATGGGAAAGAAACAATGAGGTTTTCAAGAATGAGGTGACAGACCCACATTCTAGCCTGCCCATCCAGTCTCCAGTGCCAGATACATCACTGACCCACCGTCACCACAGTTGGTGCTGTGTTTAAATTGTATTAACTGGGATTCAGTGACTTCTAATTAGGATATACATTCGATGTATGTCCTTTTCAGTTTTCATAATCTGAATGGAAAATGCTTATGAGGTACAGAACATCGGTATTGTTTTATAGACCCAAAGTAGTCTCCAGGTTTAGTTTAGCCAATCATAGCTTAATATAACAGAATTGTTCAGAAAAATTTGTTTCAGGCCTACACCAGTACTGCCAGGAGCCAATTTGTTATTGGATGGTCTAAGCACATTGCAATAAGACAAACATCCTGTCTGGATGATAAAACCACAATAAAGTTGGACATACCTGAAATAAGACTTAAGTGTAATGAGATCAAAACCTGGAGCTTTTTACCACATCAACAGCTTCCCTAAAGCTTGTGGGAAATGCATATTTCACTGAGGATTTACAAATCGTAGTCGTCTTTGTCCACTGCATACTGACACACTTGCCACTTGTCTGTTAAATCAGACAAATTGTTTCTTCTTTTAACATTTAAGGGGCAGTTTAAATGTCGTTGTTAATGCAAAGCAGACTACTGGGTTGAATGTTACTGATTGACCTAGTATCGTATGACACGTCAGAAACTGGGGAAATTAAAATTGGATTACCCAGCACACTCTTTTGAGTTGAGCTTTTCTGGCACAAGATTCCCGTTAATATTTCGCTTCTAATATGTCTTCTATGCCAGGGGTGCTAAAATAAGAAGAGGCGGGGGAGAAAAATAAAAAAGAACAGAAAATGAGTTTATATTGGATTTGGCTAACTGACAGTGATCGCTATCAAATCACAGCTTAAATAATACACTGTTCAGCAGCGTAGACACTGTGCTGAGGTGTTTAGAGCATTTATGTACATGGAGGAAAATCTCCTGCCTCTTTCTCAAGCTCCCTGTCTGTCTGGAGTACAGACGCATACACTGAAACTGTATCACCCAAAAACAAAGCCAACGGTGATGATGAGTACTTCAGTGGAGCAAAAATGGTGAAACAAAGATGGCTCACAGAGCCTGCCTGGATACCATATGCCTGTCTGATTTGGACAGGGTGTTCTGTCCCAGGTGAAGGTAGCAACGTGAACTCAAAGCACGTGGGTGAAGGGACCTGCTGGGTTCATACCCAGGGTTTTCAAACTTTCAGTGCAGCCCCCTGAAAGGGAAACTTTGTCTTTAAACATCCTGTGATATTGACCATTGACCCATTCAGATTGAGAGGGCGCTCTGATAAGACAGAGAACACCCAGCCTTGCCTCCTTCTCCCACATACTCCTTTATCCTTGCTAAACTGCCTGGTTTTACAGCAAAGCCTTAGCACAGTTCTATGGCCCAATTCAGTCTTCCAATGGTTGCCAGCTACAACACTGCTCTCCTGGCACTGGCCGTGACAGGAGAAGAATTTGCTAGCTGACTACACAAGATGGGCAGATGTTGGGTGGAAGATGGATAAGTGACTTGCCAGAGTCAAACAAACACAGGGCTCCACGCAGAGCCTTGCCAGCTTCCCCTGCAGGATCCTGCCTGCTAAGCTCATTAAAGTTCACAGCAGAATTTGGACGCTAAATTGAATAATCTTAGTAACACAAAAGTATATTAATTTGCTTTGAAAACTCTATTAAATGTAGGAAAGGTAACACCAAAGTTTATTAATTGTGACATGAATGTATAGGAACAACAGCAATTTAGTAATTTGGAAAGAAACAAGCCAAAAAAGTCTTGTAATTAAAGTAAACAGAGCCAAGAGGAACATTATAAACGAGATCTCTTCTGTCTCATGCATTAATCACAAATGATCGAGGAGCTTTACCTCCATGGGGAACTGGCAGTCACATATCAGTGATATTTGATATAAATGCAATATAATAACAGCAGGAATAATACTACTGCTACCACTCTGGATAATAGGAACATCTAGTCCTTAGATCTAAAATCCAGCCCTCATGTCAGTAGATGAAGCTCTACCAGCATCAATGAATTGTAGATGGCATGGATTTGCCCATTTCACTTCAATATGCTGAAGGGGACATATTTTTCTTTAGGAAAGCTAACAGATATTAGGATGACTAAAAAGGCATTGCTGTTTTTCAGGCTAACTGTTTTGTAGCTTGGTATTTTGTCTTTCATTATAGAGAAATAAAGACAGAAGAAAGAGAAATGTAAGATGTTTGGCTCATCTCCAACACATATTGACAATCCAGCCATTCAAATACTTACTCCCAAATGGTTTTCAGCCTGGACAGACTTACAGTTCCCACCTGTATGCAGCAAATGCCAATATCAGTGCAAGAGAATGCTCTCAAATACGTGTTTATTTGACATAGCAGTGTCAATGCAATCCAGATTTATCTCATAATGAAGATTCAGGTACATAATTTAATGTTTTACACCAATATTGTTTCAAGACTGGCATTTGAAGGGGCAAAATAAAAAATTCTTAACAACATAACCTGAAAATAAGTTGATACTGACATTTAAATTAATTGACTTTATTTTTTTTTTAAACATCTACTGTGAAAATTGTGATGGTAATCATTTGTCTTGTACTGTCTCTTTCCTTCTGATTTTGCTTATGCAAAGGCAGAAATGGAAGATGTAATTTGACAAGTTTTAAGGCATTCAGAAGTAATTTACGCACTGAAGGTGTCTATTAAGAAAAAGTCTATTATATTTCTTGCAATGAATGTATTCTGATAAGACTGCAGTATGCAGCTCTTGTGAAAGCAATGTAAGGCAAGTGTCAGAGACAGATAAGAGAGTCTAAACAAACTTTGGTTACCAGTGAAAAACTAAAAGTTGGTAAGGGTACAATTAAATTCTAACTAGCCAGTTTTTCAAATGGAAAACAATGAGAAAGGGAAAGTTAATTTCTTCAAAATAGTAACACATAAATGACATTCTGACTAGTTATAAATGAGACTGAATTGTAACAATTATTCCTAATGATACTGACCCAGTATTTATATGTGGGGCTAGGTAACCAGTATATATGTTATTGCTCTTTGTTGTTTCACAGTTAAGACTAGGTTTTTCACCTAAGGATATGACCATGAGAATGTGACTACTTTGTTATGAATAGTTATGGACATTAGGAAAAAATTCCTCACAGAGAGAGTGGTCAGACACTAGAATAGGCTGCCCAGGGAGGTGGTTGAGTCACCATCCTTGGATGAGTTTAAGAGTCATTTAGATGTGGTGTTGGGGGATATGGTGTCGGGGAGAACTTTGTAGAGTAGGGTAGATTGTTGGACTCGATGATCCCAAGGGCCTTTTCCAACCTAGGTGATTCTATGATTCTATGAAATAAAGTATATTATTATTTATAAAGTATATTACGTATATCATTGGCAAAAGGGAAGCCATACCGAGGATAATTCCCTTCTTTAAGTGCTCATGCAATATCCATAAAAGCATACAAAGGTGTATATTCTCTGGGTTGCAGATGCTGGAGGTCCTATTTCAGTGAGACTGAATGAGATAAATCAATAAGAAGTAACATGCTGTTAAACAGAAGCTCCTAAGGGAAAAAAAAAAATTAATAAATAATTCTGATGACATCTCAGACTGACAGAGTTCCCCCACCCATGACAGGACAGATTTCAAGAAGAAGGATCTCCACAATTACATCCCGACAAAAAGGATTGAGATGTCGTCTGTCTTCTATTTCTCTTCTGAAACCAGAGTGATGGGAAGTTATTGAAAGTGAGCTCTGTGCACACTCTTCAATCAAAAATGGTTGAAAGACAAAGCAGAACTACAAGCCAGTGGCTGTAAACTCACCTGGAGTGACAGACTCAACCTATCTGCAGCGCTGCTGAATGTGAGGAACCAGGTATAGATGGAAATAAGTGCAATAAGAAAGGAATATCTGAAGTGATGAAAACTATAAAAGACTGGAATTGTTTATTTTGGCAAGGAGACAAGGGAGACACAGCAAATAGTTCAGGAACAGACAGGAGAGTTGAAGCTAGAGGAAATACTGCTATTCAAAACAGGAAATGCATTCCTAATTGGACTGTGGAACTCCTTGCCATAGAATACTATTAAGGCAAGAGTATATCAGGGTTCAGAAAGCAAAGGGATATTTCAATGGTCATCAGAATAACCATATTGCTAATTATTAACTCGATGAATGTTTTATGTTGCTTGTTAACTATTTATTCTATAATGGATCATTGTTAGCAAACATTTGCCTTTTAAAATGTCTGACATCTGTTATTCTCCCAGAAAGTGAACAAGATCATTGGTAAGCATACATCTTTTCAGTAAAGACTTTGGAATTACCTTTCAAGTTTTCCATGGAAATGAAACTGAACTCCCTATGGGAAAGATGGTGGCCATTATGACTGAGACAGCAGGTGCCTGAAACTGTTCCTGCTGAGCACAGTGCAGGATTAAAATTTTACTAGGTTGGAAGAGCTATACGAACACATTTTGCTGAACAGAGAGACAGTATGATAAACTGAGGCATTTTCCAACTATCCTGACGTGAATACAGGATACAAGTCCTTCCTAAACCACATTTGAAGGATGCACTGAATATTTCTTGATGACCAAGTCATATTTTAAATGTAGTAGAAGGCAATTTTTAATTTCTTCACTCTCTCACTGTGTTCAAGGATAGATGACACTATGAAAATACAGGGACAATCACTGGCAACCAAAACTGTAATTAGTTTCCAGAAAAGTTAGTGGTTTTTTTTTTTCTTTCTTATTCCCTAATGAAAAAGAGCTAATTACAAAAAAAAAAAAAAAAGCCACATGACTGTGTTCAAAGTACTTTGAATTTTGGCTAAGTCAAACACAAGGAAGAAATATGTTTCATAAACAGAGTGTGGGTAATATGTCCTGAGGGGTTAGCACAGTTACTCATTCAGTAAGTAAGGTCAAATTATGTGCGAGGCATGGACATTTAGCATAAAAACAGTATTAATAATTCATGTGGCAAGCCGAGTGGTGGAATGATAAGATATAGTGATGGGGAAAAAAATGCCAACAACAGAACTCAACCGCTAGACAGAGACAATAGAAGAAAAAGCTCGTATAAAACAAAAAGCCAATAGGATAGAGAGGTGAAAATACCAATTAAAGCTTTTCTTATAAATGCCCACACAGATTCGGTCTTACAATATGACAGCGATTCTGGTTTCTGTTATTTGCTTGCTGGTTATCTCAAGCCAAAGTGACTCTGCAGAGAACCTCACATCATATGACACCAGTCAACTACATACTGTTTATCTTCACTGCAGGATAATAAAGAGAAACAAAGCTATCTGGGTAAGTAAATTCAGGAGTACTATGTTAGGAAGAGAATGGACGAGGTGCTCGAGGTCTAAAATAGAGGATTTTGCTATCCTGGTGTTAAACTTGAGAGGAGTTTTTATTTCTGAAACTTTCTAAAAAGCTTGAAGTCTCCCGTGAAATCTAAGTCTTGAAAGAGCTGAGCGAGCTATTGGCTAACTGATGATATCCCTGTCTGGGATCCAGGAACTACATCTCTTCTGAGCTATACCTAAGAATCATTGGAATAGTGGTGGATTTCACTAGGAATAGAGATGGATTTCACAGTATTCCTGAAAACAGAGTCCTCATAAAATGTGGTTTCTTCTGGCTGGCACTTTCTAGCACATATCTGTGCAGAGCTACAGGTTATTGCCTCAAAACAGCACATAGAAAGAGCGAAGTAATGGGAGGGAGGGAGCATTTGAAAGGTGAGAGCATTCACTGTGGATGACAGGCTTGCAATATACTCCTTTTTCTGCTCCTCAGGCTTAAATGTAAATACTCTTTCTCACTCAGCCGATTAGTGCTTTAAGAGCAGAGACAAGGGAAAAGCAGAGGTGCGGATACACCCCAAAGAAGCAATATTTCTAGCCCTCTTTCTGAGAACAGAAAGAAGACCCTAAATTGTTGATTTAAGGGGAACAACATTGTGTGATGTGCTGAGTCTCCATCATTTTATTAGAGGTTTCTCATAGAACCATAGAATGGTCAGGGTTGGAAGGGACCTTTGAATGTCATCTAGTCCAACCCCCCTGCAATTCCCAGGGACATCTTCAACTAGATCAGGTTGCTCAGAGCCCTGTCCAACCTGGCCTTGAGAATCTCCAGGGATGAAGCATCTACCACCTCTCTGGACAACTTGGGCCAGTGTTTCACCACACTTACTTTAAAAAAATTTCTTCCTTATATCTAGCCTAAATTGCAGGACAGCCTGCAATTTGACTTGCGGTTTTTCAAGGACTTCTGCACTCCACAGTTCAGCACCTACAAGAAAAAAGGTATAATTTAAGACACATCCTTGCCTTGATCATTGATTTTTTTGTGAATCCTGCTTTTAGACATTGAATTCACTGTGCACTGGCATGGACATTCGGACAGTAACTCCTCTAACATGCCTGGGTATTATAGTGACTAAATTTCTCACTGTATTCCTTAGCTTTCACCTCATTTGTGTACCACATTGATAGTTCAGTAATGCACTGTGTGTTTCCGTGGTACTCATACGGTAGACAGAATTGAAGGTGATGTAAACATTTGTTTTAACGATGACAGGAGTAGAGTCTGAGGCTGGAGTCAGGAAGACCTCACATATGTGTAAATTTGCAGCCTTGAGTTAGACCCTCAGACTTCCCACACGTTGTCAGGGTGGAGAATACATCTGAAAAGCAGTAAACAGAGACAGGAGATATTTTTAAATAGCAAATAGGAAATTCAAAGAAAGCAGCAAGTCTTAGGTGTCGTATACCTCCGAGTTAGCAAGGTGACTCAATACAGGAAGATGAACCTCAGTTATTATGATTTCGCTGAGACAAATTTCCTGTCTGAAGACTCACCAAACTCCTGGATTTGGTTTTGAATTTCCCATGTTCTGCTGTTGCTCTGGATTTACGTTTTCACAGTTTCAGATTGTTGCCTCTGCAGAGCACAGGACTGTGCATTTTAGAAATCCTTTTGTTTATGAGTATATTTGGAGTGTATAAAAGCGTTAAATCAATTCTAGAGGTAATTTCTAGCAAGCGTGAATTCCTTGACACTACTCAGAGGAGGACTGTGTAGAGGGAGATGCTTCCTGTTCTCACTGTTCTGGGCTTATTTGGGTTAAAGCTGAAGAAAAAGAAGAAACATTTTGTCCTTTTCCTCCTCTACATTTCTGTGAGTGATAAAACTTGAGCTGTGCTGCCAAAATAATCACAGCTTAACAAGCTGCTTTAAGGGATGGGGATTATCTCAATTATCACAGCTCTTCCAAAGGTATGAGCATAGAGGACATCAATCTGATAAGACAAAAATCCTTGTATTTGTGTTCCCATATCTGTAAATTCTGCAATACACCCAGAGGCACCGAATCAAGTCACACTCATGGCATGCCTTACTCATGCAAGTAAGAGAGCGGGATTACTTGGTGTGCTGAAACCACGGAATTGTGATACCTAAGTCCAGACAGCAAATTACCTGCCCCTTTTTTAGAGGGAAAGAAAGGGGCAGCTCTGACACAGTAAAACGGACACTCTGCCCTGCCTGTGTCCCAGAAATTTTTCTGGTGGTAGGCCAGGATGTAGACAACATTGAAAGCCATCCTGTTGCATTGCAACAACCATGAAATTGTGTGCAATAGAATATTGACCAGTTCCCTTTCCGGATTCAGGTACAGCTGAAGGGACTGTCAATGAGATGCATCTCACAGGCAGCTCAGCTGCATCCGAGCATCCAGCACATCTCTGATCATGGCTCTGATCTGCTCTTTGAGGCATGGTGGAAGGATGCACATATTGCTGATACCCAGTCACTGTCTCCAAGCTGGAGGATGGCTGCTTAATTCTATTATGCGTGCACGTCCTTCAGACAGCATAAGAGCACTTGACTTGCTGTCTTCTCCGTTCAGATATTTACAATGTCTTCACAGTACTCATCTGTTCCTTCTGACTTCTGCACCCTGTAATTAATTCTTACACCCATGTAAAATCACATTATGGCCCTTTCTATAAATACTCTGAAATTCACACTCGTGGATGGAGTCACAAAGCGGTTTGTAGAGCTTGAAGGACCAACGACTGCATGCGACCATAGTACTTTTACCTTCTGTGGGCTCCAGGCTGGCAAAGCTTGAAAGGTTTGATGGTGACACTAAATCCCTGGGCAGGCAGAGATGGGCAGAAGCAGTATATCAGGATCACTCCATTCAACATGAAAGTTGCATCTTGCTTGGTTATTGTTTTTCTTCTCTTGTTATTCTTAACAAATTAAATAACTATAATAATGGGAAATGACATAATTGGTTGATTGGGTTTCTGGAAACATAACACATGTGGCTTTTGACCCAAACAGACTCACAGAGCAAGCAGACAGAGGAAATAACAGCAAGAGACAGAATCCTGTATTAAGCTGGAGTCAGGACATGGTTGTTAAAAAGGTAAAGGGGAAAGAAACTGCCTCTGTGGCTTCAAAATATGTATGCTTGAATTGTTCTGATATCAATGGCAAACTCTTTGTGTTCAGGTTCCTCAATTATAAGAAATTTTCAAATCAAATATAAGAATAATTTACTAATCCTGCTTCTGTTTGGCACTTGGACTGTCTCCGGGTAGATAGTGTAATCCTGTTTGCAAGAATAACTATCCTAATGATGCTGTGTCTTCTGAGTTACAGGATGTTACCTCAGCCATTATAAAAGCGAAAGGGATGAGCTGATTTGGAAAACAAGCAGAAGACAAAATGGGCTGAAGACTGTAAATTATAAAGCTGGGAAAACTGATGAAGAGGACTATCTTTTCAAAGATCAAATACAGCTATTTGCAGCAAAACTGTAGGAAACAAGTAGGTTTTGCTCTCTTGTGTGGTGATTCTGAGGAAGCATCCATGCTTGAGTAGGGTGTCAAATGAGTGCATTTGCTGCCCTTCCAGGAGACCAGATGCTGGCAAGCTGGGCAATAGGCTGAGGGACAGCATGGGAGAACTGCTTAAAGCATCGACATGGGTACCTTTGCCATTTTCTCAACCAACTCCTTTCTGTCCCTCCCTTTGCAAGGAAGGGGACAGGCAGAGGAGGGAAAAGAAAGAAACAAAGAATATGTCATTAAAAATATAATGAGGTGAAGGAAAGGGCACTTGAAAGTAGGGATCTGGCAGACAGGCCAAACTCTTGAAGCCGTAGAAAGCATTATTGATAGGGTGATATCAATAATGAATGTGAATGGGAGGTAAGAAGCTGAGAGGAGGATGCGAGTGCAGGTTTGCAGTAAAAGAAGAGGGATGAAGCACACTTGGGCTAATGAGGCAGTGGCTGCTGCACTAGGGGCAGGAGGTTACTTGCTCTGACTTCTCTTTTGGCTTTGCAAATGCAGGGAGGAAGTGGAAAGATTACGGGATCTTCCCTTTCTGGTACAGCTGCTGGAGAAATCTCTCCTGTTCTCTATGTCGCACTGAGGTCAAACGAGTGTCAGCTCTTTTAGAGAAAAAGAAATGATAAAATCTGCACAAGGGCAGAAGGTGGAAGAGCAGAGTCAAAGTGTGGAGCTGGAGATGCAGTCACAGCGTCACCTCTGTAGGGGAGTGCTTCACTTCATGTTCAGACAAGGAGTGCAGTGTGGTTTCTGGTAGGTGTCCTCATGCTGGTCATTGAGTAAAAAAGACTGCAGACCTGTGTGGCTGTTCTTCCATAAGACTAGGTCCCCAATACACGTTATGTTAACCAGCAGGTGGCGTTTGGATGTTTCCTTCAAGTATGGCAACCACAAACTACTTTTCTCTTGTCCTCTCTTCCATGTTTTTGCTAAGTACATTGAAGTACCTCTCAAATTACTGTTCATTGAAGGTAAGAGAAGATTATTCTTCTCAGTACTGCCCAACTAAGACTCACAATGACTAAAAGGAAATTGCTTCTAGTCAGCTAGGACTTGATCCTGTTGTTATTGACTTTGGAAGAGCTGAAAAACCTGTGCTTAAAGTTACTTACATGCATCTTCTTGTTTTTGCAGTTCAGCAAATACCACACACATTTTAGGAACATCTTTGGAATCCCTGAATGTTCCAAAGACAGAACATTTCTCTGGAAATCTCAGGGGATTTTCTTAACGGATTTCAGCATCTTTGAACTTCCTCTCAGAATGGAAAGGTAAATTTATGTTCTTGTCATTTTTGGTGTTTCTAAACAGGAATATGAAAATAAAGGCTAAAAGCAGCTCTGTATTGGCTGATTTCTTCTTCAGAACTTCCCAGAAAATAAGGTTAAAAACCCAGAATATTGGTATTTTGGAAGAAATCATGCTAATTCTTTACTGACTCGTCTCTATTTACCTAACTCTTATGCCTTTTCCTGTTAGTTTCCAAGGAAGACTGACCCTTCTCCTCTACTCACCTGGTTAGTGCTGAAGACATGAGTTCTCAAACCTAGATTGAGTGCACCCATCAGTGTCTAAAACAATCTTTGAAATTTAAGGATGAGGATAAGAACATAAAGTTCTCCTCAGTATAAGTGCAAAGCACATCAGAAAGTAGATTTGAAAATCCAATCAATCTCTCTAAGGACTGAAACAATTAGAAGTGATAGAAATATGTAAATAAATGTCCTTTCAGTAGCTGACATAAGCAGAAATTCTTTTTTTTTTTAAAAAAAAAAAAGCATGTTAAAGGCACATATTCTAAATAGATAATTACTTTATCATCTGTTCACTGACATTTTTTGTCTTTCCTGTTTTCTTGATATTTAGACTCTGGTGAGAAAAGTTTGATATATGCCCTCAGCTAATGATATTTTTTTCTGTTAACATAGCATTTGTCACTGGATAACCTTTAGGAGAGCTTTTCTAGGGTGTAATTTCCATGAAACTGGGAGAAATGGAATTATTTCTTGCCTCAAGCTAAACTGAATTTATCTCTTACTAAAATCTCAGTTGTTTCTTTGTGTTGCCTCTAGGTGTTGCAGTACTCTCTCCGACTTGTGAGGGCTCATTTATACCTTGAGAACCTCAGATAAGTTACCCTAGAGAAGAATTAGATCATATAGGTTTTAAACAATTATTTAGAACCTAGTACCTAGGATAAAGGGCAGTAAAAACCCACGATATCATCTAGTCTGGGCACCAGTGAGTGCAGTCTTGTGCCTTTTAGATATAGTTAAGTGCACATTATGTAGTGTTCATCCCCCTGAGAGCATCTTCCACAGCCCGAGACCCTGCAGCACCCAGGAGCGTTTCCTGACACTCACTGTACCACTTGCCTCACTTAATATCATCCCATTACTCTTAGTTACGGCCCTTTGATTCACTTTTTTAAATCCTCGCTTTTTGGCTGCATAAACCTGCCATACATTTACAGGCAGATACATGTTGTGTTATCCAGTGCACAAAGAGTGCAGCACACACTTTGCAGTGGACAGTTGTGAAAAGAAGTAGAGAAGAAACCTTAATAGATTGTGTTTGACTACATGTGGATAAAAAGAGCAGAGCACGGGGTGCAGTTCCTCTAGCCCCAACATATATATATAAAGAAAGTTGATAAGCAATATCCTAAAAGTGGCCACTTTCCTCCGCTGTGTATAAAGAGGGTCTTCTCTGGTTAGAGGTTGTGTAAAAGTCCACACTGTTACCTAGATACCTTTAGATGCCTCAACCTAGGTGAGATATACTCCACTTGAGGTCACTGTGGTGAACCTTCCCACAAAATAGCAGATGTCTCAGGGGTTGTGTCCTCTCCAGCACTGAGAAAAGCAGAGAAAAGGAAAAAAGTCTCATCCCTCCTCATTGTCACCACTGTGTAGCCTGGATCATCACTCCCATCATTGCATAATTGTGTCTTCGTCCTACAAGGTGCTGAGTGCTCCAATTCCAGCCTCTAAGTGTCAACCCACGGGCACTGAAGTGTCCCCTGGACTCTTATGTTTAGGGGACAACATGAACAATTTGTCTGGTCTACCTTTGGGACACATTTCTTCATAAAGCCCCAGCTGGCGGTCTGAAAAGCAGTGAGTAGTGCTTTCACATATAATGAGTCTATGTGTGGAGGCATGAGTTCAGGCATTCCTTAATCCTACAGCTTAATTCGACATAATAATTAATAAGGGAAGGAGGAAAGCAAAGCACCAGTGTTTTATATCTCAGAGTGGTGAGGTAACTACACAGAACTGTATTCTACTCGTCAGCCATATGGGGAAAATAAACTGGTTTTCCTGACACTGTTTGAGTCATCCTTTTTTTCCCCCTAGCCGAGCTGTTTTTGTGAATGTTATCTATATCTTCAAGCGGAAGCATGTGTTATTGTGGACAGCCAGAACCAAATGTTTTAGCATTGCTGCAGTGCGCTTGCCATCCCCTTCTGACTTCAGCCTATGTAAAGATTACAGCATTTGCTATCATAATGCAATTTTAAAAGTAACTTTTGGCTTGCTGAAGGTCAAAATGATAAAGGGCCATTCCACGGCAATTACTTTTCCCGTGGTTTAAAAAGGAAAATTCAGGTCATGTTACTTAAAAATTTCTCCCCCACAAATATTTCAATTTTGCACTTCCTGTCAATCATGCTTTGCCGAAGTTGCCTCAGGTATCGTTCAGAACTGTGTGTTGCGCTGTTCATCTGACCTGTAGGCAAAAAAGTAGTTCTCAACAGAGAAAAAATACCCTGCTTTTCTGTAAAAAACATTTCCCCCAGTGGGGAAAAAAAGCTAATACTGAAGTGAGCAGGTATTTTCAAGAACACATTTGGTTTTTTCTACAATCAAGAATGTATCATTTTTGAAAGGGAAAGTTATATCTGTCAGCTCCCTGGCTGCCAAGCCTCATATTAATCCTGACTTCAGGTGGATACTGTGACAGTGCCTCCACCCTTGATAAACCATTTAGTTTCTGTTCAGCCTATAAAGAGTCTTCAGACTCTCATTGCACTGTGATATGTCTTAAGCTGATAAATCAGCGGATCCTTTTTCTCTCTGCCCTCCCTTCACCACATTAATATTGATTATTTGGAAGTAAGGAGTCCCAAGGAGTGGAAGTGGATACGCCTCATTGCCTTGAACAATTCTTTTCCCTCTACTGGGACAGTACAAGGTAAATTAATAGTGTGCTTGCAGACACTAGATAATGTTAATGTACTTGCTATTGATAGAGTGAAATAACATGAGTAACTTCAGCTTTACTTAAAACAAAACATTAATTTTCCAAGACCGCTAGGATTTATGCAGCTGGTTGGTGTAACACATGCAGTCTTTTTTTTTTTAAATATGCAATATTTGTGGTTTTAAACACGAGGCAGGATTTTATTGCCAGATGAAAGACAAAAAGGGATTTTAATTCATTGCTTATGCTCTCAGGCTCTGGTCTGCCTTTAATCTAAGTCCCTGCTCGATTTGGTGGGTAAGAAGATGCCTTTTCTACGAGGAAATAATGCATAGCAGCTTTATCCCCTGTGATCCTCTGGCTATGTAAAAATGCATAAGAAATCTGCAAGTGCAGAAGCTGTGGTTTTGTATATGTTTCCAAAGGAAAAAAAAAATAGCTTTCATGCAAAAAAAAAAAAGCGTTAGCAATGAGGGCAACTCCACTCCCACATCCATCCATTTGAATGCTCTGGGAAATTATTACAGCCATGTGGGTTTAAGTAGTGGGTATTTTACAACAGACTGGACCTCTGATAACTGGAAGCACAGACACAAGGCTTTCTTGATCTTAAGGCAGATTTAAAGCTCCTGCAGTCCATGGTTTCCTTCCACAGTTCCTCCCACCTTTGGTGCATGAGGAGCCTTCCCATGCTGTGACAGGAAACCTGGAGGAAATCGCCAGGGCAGAGTGTAGGTGGATCTAACGAGATGGTGGTGATGGCTGCACTTCCACAATGCAGTGGAGCAGTGATCACGACACAGCAGCACAGGCTGGGAGGCAGCCAAGCCATTGCCATGCAGGGTCAAAGAGCTGCCACGTTACCATTTCCCTTCTGGCCCCACCAACTTGCTGCACGACCTTGTGCGACTCGTCTGAGCTTAAAGTTGGAGTTCACCCATCTGTAACTCCGACGTGGTAATAAATTATGGGAAGAACTTGAGCTGCAGCAAATTTGGCCCTGCTTTTCTCTCTGCACTCTGATCCTAATTTCTACAAACGTGTTTTTAGCTCATAAATATTCACGGAATAGCTCATGTAAACAAATTTTGTCTACGTGTTATTCATGCACTGCTTGCTTTGATTGTGCAAGTTCCTCTATGTGTTACTTATGGTGGGTGAACGGTCATTAAAGTCACATACTATTACTTCTGGTACCTGACTGGGTGACTGGATTTTCTAGACAGGAATATAACACATGACAAACTGTGGATAATGAATAGCAAGTAACAAATAACAAACTTTACAGAATGAATATTTGGAGGAATAATTATTTGTGGTGACAATCATGAAACTTTTAGGATTTGCCAGCATTTTTTCTCCCAGACAAACTGGTATTCATTTGAAAGCTCATGAATGATAGATAGTCTCGTCTCACAAATAATGACAGTTCAAACCTCAATTAAACAAGCTTCACAAAACCCCTGGGAGACAGGCAGTAATAATAGTTTTATATTACTAAAACTGATACGTGAATATTTTCCCAGAGAAGTTTGGCATTTGAGGGGTATTTTAATACCATTGAAAGAAAAGCACTACTGCAAATGAGTGAAAAATATCATTATTATATTTGTCAGATTCCAGCATGCAAGAAAATTAGATGAAGAACACTCAAGATACCAGCTCTGGTGGACTGATTAAGGAAAACAACATCATTTACTTATGGCAGGTCAGCCCAGAGCCTCTTCCAGACTCAGTGCATCCTACAGTTACTTGACAGCCTGCCAGCCTCCAGAGCCAATTCCAAAAAATTCCTTCTCACCATGTGTGCATTGTCATAGTTAAATGCTGAACCATCAGCACAAAGTGCAATAACCAGCACCTACCCAGCTTGTCAGGAGACAACTAAACCCATTTTCTGTCGTAATAGTTACAGATTTATAAGTAGATCTTACAGAATTCATTATTTGCTATTCGTAGTAAGGTAGCACCAATCGCTGGGGTTATGCAGATGGCCAAGGCACCTTTCTGTCTCGTTGATGGTCTGGTTCATAGCAGCATAGTGCTGACAGCTCAGGTCCTAACTACAGTCACATTTTTTCTGATTCTGCGTGTACCTCAGCTGTCTATGGTAACATTGCATTACCCAGAGTACACACACTATAGGAGGAACCCCGCAGCACAAGCTCCTTCTTAGATGCAGACCACGCTCTTTATCTGAGAGGACTTGTGATCAAAGCATAAAGTTTATAGGAGCTCTGTTTTCATCATACTTCACTACTGTAGAGTTTGAAGTGATGAAGGACGGATGAGGAAGTAAACCAAAGCTTCTCGCAGTCCTTCCAGTAGTCCTTATGTTGGAGCACCTTGAGTACCAACGTGCCACGCTTTTACTGCATACTTTTTCCCAGGAAGGTAATAGGCAGCTTCATGAGCCACCGTCTTATCAGTTGTGTGCAAAGGTCCTATAAAGCACCTACAATGTTCCAACCTGGTTTTGGACATTCTGTACTCAAACTGAGAAAAAAAGCTTTCTTCTTTAAGGCAACAAAAAACTAGACATCCAAACCCCCTCATCTTCTAAGTGCAACCTTGAGAACTATATAAAGTCAAGTATGAACTGCATTTTTGTTTGGGTATTCAGAGGGCAGAGAGAACACAAACACTTGGTGGGCAGAAGGCAACGGCAACTATCAAGATGGAAGCTGGTCTCCTTCATGCCAGTGTTAATCTTAAATAAACCAGTGTTTATCCTGGTATGAACAGGATTTGGGTTAGGCATGTTTTCTCTACAGCTTTCAATCTTTTTCATCCTGCTAATCAAAGATCTGTTCTCCATGCTGCTGTATTAACAATCTTACCCCCCAAAAAACCCAAGGAACAGTTTCTGCAGCCTAATATTTGCCCAAAAGACAAGGATATAACCTTTGGATTAGCAAGATGACTTGTTAAACTAGATCAAGAAAATCCTGCTGGCCTCGCAGAGCTAACAGCAGCTCACTTTCTGATGCACTGTCAACTCTCAGGAGCTGGTTCTCCCTTTTCTTTCTTCCCCCAGTATGTGAGCACACTTAACAGCCTTCAAAGCAGCCAGGCTTCTTCCTTTCTTTCTTTTTGTAGGTAATGTTCCCCATTCTCAAAGTAGGAAAAAAGATGGGGTAAGTTCCTATTAAGCCAACACAGCCCTTCTAAAAATCTCAAGGCATCAGTGCTCCTACCCTCTTGAACCTTTCATACTCTTAACAGCTTGTGTTTTTCACTTTTCTTTGACAGCTCGAGTTTTTGAAAACTTACTTCTTTTTTTTTTCCTCCTGCCTGGAGACATTTTTCTTCCCAGAATGTTTAAATTCCCTCGCACTGCAGGGTAATGGAGCTGATGCTTGTTTGCAACTTTATCAGTGTATTGTCACACTTCTTCCCTCATCCAGCATGTACTAGGGGGGAAAAAAAAGAGCTTAGAAATAACAGAAGAATCTGTGACATGGTACCTGGGAAGAAACCACCTTGTGCTTCCAGGGCTGCACTGGGAGTTAGACATGACAGAGGTCTCATCCTTTTTCTGGCATTGATTTCTGCTCTGACCTTTGGCCAGTTGTTAAATCCCTGATTTTCAAAGGTGCAGAATGACTGCCACTAGGTAAAATTCCTTTTTTTTTTTTTTTTTTTTTAACTGGGATTTCCATGCACTTTTAATTATTTGACTTTAGAAGCATTTTTGTGTTGATAACCTTAGACAGAAAGATGATATAAATGCAAAATTCTGTGTTGTTACAAAACGTCTCATCCTGAAGAGGTTTCTTTCAAGGCTGGTAGTTTTAACGTTTCAATATCCAAGGTAAAATTTCTTTTTTTTTTTTTTTTTTTTTAACTGAGGTCAGTAAGAGCTTTGCAGCTGGAAGTCAGGATTTCATCTACTCACTTCAGTTGCATTTGTGGGTGTTCCAAAAATCATGCAGCTGGGGAAGGCAGACTCAATAAGGGGAAAGGTTAAGTCAAAACGAAGTTGGAAGCAGCTTTAGCTGCATTTAGTCACTTCAAGATATGATTC